AACACTGGAGTGGGCTCCCCAAATCTGCAGCGCAGAGCACTCACAAGGATGTGAGTAAGCCAGTAAGCCAGGGCCCCACCCCTGCCAGACACTCCTAATCTCCTTCCCCAGAGCGGCCTCCTGCCCCAGCCCAGCCCTGTAATTCCCCAGCCAGAGGCAGCGGGGACTTTGGCGGAGAGACATGCTTTTAGGAGGGAGAGAGAGTGCTCTTAGGAGGCACATTGCTGTTGGCTGGGGGCTGGGGGTGGAGGGTGCTCACCAGAGAAAAAGGCAGCATCCAGAGGGACCCTGGGAGTGGAAGTGGGTGCAGAACCCACTGCCTGCCTCCCTCCACTGCAGGGACCCACAGAGAGGCTCCCCAGAGCGGGGGACCCAGGAAAAGGCCTCCTTCATTCATGGAACCCAAAGCAGGCTCCTTCCTTGCCGTCCTCCAAGGGGGATCCCAAAAGGTAAAGAGGGTAGGGACCCAATGGCACATACATGACCTCATGTACAGTCTAAGGAGAGACCTTTGCCAGCTTCCCTCCCCCACAGAGCCTGGAACCCCCCTGTGGAATGCAAGTCTGACCCCCGCCCCCCCTCTGCATTAGAACCCTGACTCACACTGGAGGCCACCCCCCCCCACCCCCCTGCAGACATGGAATGAGGCACCAATGGCCCAGCCTGTGCTCAGGCCATTTTGAGGGGAGGCAGCTTTCTGGGACAGCAGGGGTTAATGGAACCAGGTTCAGGCGGGGTGGGGGTTCTGTGGGAGCCTGGAGTACCCCCAACGCTGCACTCCTAGGCAGGCTTTGTGTGGGTGCCTTTACCTGACCCTCCTCCTGCCACCTGGGAAGGAGGGGTAACGGAGGAGCCTGGGGCGGTGCCTCTTGTGGTCGATGAGTCTCCCCACACCAGCCTGTCGGGGGGACCCAGGCCAATCCAAACAGATGAAGGGACTGCACTGTGTGCTGAGACCAGGCAGAGAGCCAGGCGATGGGATCCTGAGGAGGAACAGCCCGGTCTGAGGAGGGAGCTACAGCAGATGCCCTTGGAGCCCAAGCTCACGGAAGAGACTGTCCCTGCCCTGAGCAAACCTCCCTCGCCCACCCCCA